CCTGGTTTGATGGGGCCAACAGGACAACGTCGTCTGCAAAAAGGAGAGACGAGATCCTGTGGTCCCCAAACCGGACTCCCTCCGGCCCCTGGCTGCGCCTAGAAATTCTGTCCATAAAAATAATGAACAGAACCGGTGACAAAGGGCAGCCCTGCCGGAGTCCAACACGCACTGGAAACAAGTCTGACTTACTGCCGGCGATGCGAACCAAGCTCCTGCTCCGATCGTACAGGGACCGGGTGGCCCTTAGCAAAGGGCCCCGGACCCCGTACTCCCGGCGCACCCCCCACAGGGCGCTGCGAGGGACACGGTCGAATGCCTTCTCCAGATCCACGAAACACATGTGGACTGGTTGGGCAAACTCCCATGAACCCTCTGCCACCCTGAAGAGGGTATAGAGCTGGTCCAGTGTTCCACGGCCAGGACGAAAACCGCATTGTTCCTCCTGAATCCGAGGTTCGACTGGCCTTAACCTTTAAAAACATTGACATTTATTGTCGAAACCTGTTTTCATGGCTGACTGGAACATACAGTAGGCTACACCAATAATGACAGTAAAGGTAATAATCGGGGAGGGTCACTGCTTTTATGATGTCCTCTGATTGGAGGCTCACTTTGCCACACTTTGCATACCCATGATCTAAACCATCAGTATGTCTCTTAGGTCCTATCCCAGCTAGCCTGCTCAGAGAAAATTACCCCTACTCAACATGTCCATATTAGATTTGATTTAATATCAACCTCATAGTGCCTTATCATCCCAACAGAGCACTGCACTCTCAGAATGCAGGTCTACTTGTGGTTCCTAGAATCCACAGAGATAGAATGGGAGGCAGAGACTTTAGCTATCAAGCTCCTCTCCTGTGGAACCAGCACTGTCTTTCAGTTCAGGAGGCAAACACCCTCTCTACCTTTAAGATTAGACTTAAGATTTTATTCTTTGATAAAGCTTATAGTTAGTGCTGGTTCAGGTGACCCTGAGCCTTCCATTAGTTATGCTGCTGGGGCCCTTCCATTATCCTCCGAGTTTCTCCCCTCTCCTCATTCTCCAAGCATTAACTGTGTATCTCCTTTCTCCTGTACATATCTGCAAGATCTCCGTGCAACTTCTCTGCTTTGTTTACAGTCCGCTTTCATTGAGCTCTCATGCATGGACAGTTGAGCCTTGCTATTTCAGACACTATAGAAAGTTATAATTGTTTGGAGCTTTTGGGGCAACACTTATGTGGGTCTGGTGTTTTGTAATGAACAAACATGTCAATCACTGCAGCATTGCATTTTACTCGAGTTTTTAACAGTGGATGTCTGTGGCACAGATGAATAAGCTGATTTAGGTTGTAGACTGACAGACATTAACAGTGAGTAGAGGCAATTCATTGACTGAAAAATACGAGCTCTCAAACGACTGGTTGTCATGGTTAGTAGTCAAAATTTGGATGAGGCAAGAAAGGTGAACAGTAAATCTTTTTCTTCAGCAGGTCTGGATCCTAATGAGGATGTCAGACTGTTCAATCTTGATTTCAACCTGCAGAGGGTGACACAGACCAGTTTATTACTTTTTTCTTTGGTCTTAACTGCTGTGCTGCCTGTGTTGTGTTGTTTTGTGTCAGGACTGACTACAGCAGCAGTGTGTGTGTATCCGTCCCGTGTAGCTGATGCCATAATATCATTAAAAGCAGCCAATTCCAACCTTCCTGTTGCCTCAGGTAAGACACTGAATCAAAACTATATTAACACATTACTACAGAAAAGAAATGAACAGTGAACTGAAGTGTGTGTTACAGTGAATCTATTATACCTAAAGAAAAGGCATAGACCTGTACTTGAGTTTCAGTGACAGTGTGTTCTCCCTGCTCTCCCAGTGGCCACTGGTTTCCCAGCAGGGCAGACTCCACTAGAGACACGTCTGCAGGAAGTCCGTATGGCATTGGCTGACGGTGCCACTGAGATTGACATCGTCATCAACAGGATGCTCGCCCTCACAGGACAGTGGGAAGGTACACTTGACATGACAAGAAAGACAGAGAAAGTCATTTAAGCATAGGTCACTAATTGAGGCCTGTAAGAATTTCTGTTATGTTAATCATTAGAGGAAAATGAAAACCGACTAATCAATTTCTACTCAACGCATTTCCTTGTTTTTCATGGGGCTTTCAATATTGCCCAGCAGTCATGGAGCTGTAGATGTGACATTCTTCTTCATATGATAAGCATGCTTTAGGACTTCTTTATGATGATATGATGGTAGTTGTCAGTACATCCATTAGTGCATAGCAAAAATGAACAAATATAAGCTGCAAACAGGCCTCAAAGTTGCTGCCTACATTGCAACTCACTAGGCTACAGGAGTTGGAAAGCTTTACAGCTTGCCTGACAAACACTGGGTTTTTAGGATTTCTTATTGTCTTATTAATGTAAATCTGTCAGTACCTACACTAGCGCATAGTAGAAATTAACTGATAATAGTTCATTCAGTGTACTTAGTGTTCCAAAATGTTAACAAATATAGGCTAAAAACAGTACGCAAGCTGCAGCCCACAGTAACTCATACTTATGGCAACATTATACTTGCTATTTCTTGACAAAGTATGACCTGTGGGCATGATTGAACTTGTACTGTTTAATGTGACATTTTCCAAACTACTATGCAACAAAGAGTCTTGAAAAATTGATATTTAGGCTCATTCATTATATAGATGTAGCCTAATAGTCTATAGGATCTAGGATATTGGATCTAGACCATTAAATCAGGTAGCTTATAACGCCTCTGTCTTCTTAAATAGCAGCAGTAATAGCCTATTACAAGATCCTGATTTCTGGATCAAAGCCTTAAACGTTAATAGTCAACAGATATAAACTTTGACAAGAAACAGGAAGTAGGCTATAGGTTACATAATGTTGCCATGGATACAGTGTGAGCATTGTTTTCTTGTCTAAGCTGTAGGCCTATTTGTTTACATTTTGCAACACTAAATAGTCTACTGTTTGCAATTAATTTTGCTACCTAGCCTACTGTTGGATGCACTGTCAGAATTACATATATAGGCTACTGAAGAAATCTTAAAAACAAAAGTGTTTGTCAAGCAGTTTCTGACACTTTCCAACTCCTGCTCAATCTATGTACGTATATAGTGAGTTACACTATAGGCAGCAAGTTTAAGGCCTGTTTGTTGTCTGTATTTGTTTCTGTCCTGGAACACTAAGTATGCAGAATTAGTTATTAATGGTTCACTTTTGCTCTGCACTATTGGATATACTGACAACTATCACTGAATTACTTTTGTACTAAAGAATTTCATTACAACCTGATGATTTTCAGGGACGTTCTGCAGCGTTCAAACCCCTGCATTCTCACATGAAATGCTGATCAATCCTGATGAGATTGAGTTTGTAATTACAAGATCAGGTTCTCGTAATTATGAGAGAGTAAATTATAATTACCAGATAAGATCCTGCATTTATTTTTAATTTGGATGCAACATGGCTTCTGTACACCGTCAAACTCATAAAGATGATTAATTAATTAATTCAAATATTGAGTAGCCCAGATATATTTTGTACTCGGTGTAGCTTTAGTTTATACTAAAAACAAATATGAATCTAATCTTAACAGTTTTTGTACTGTTAACTGAAATTATTTTACTACTGTTTGTGTAGTCAAAGACTTCCCAGTTGTTTCAGGATTTATAGCTGGTTTAGTCTTGTTTTGAACTTTGGTGATGAGGTGACCTTTATTCCCATTTTGATAACTCATTAGTTCCTGTACTGGTTAATGTATTGAACAGCCTCAGTAGTATTTACTAAGTGACCTGAATTAGGTGGAATCAGGTACTTCAATTCACAGTTCAGTAAACTTTATCTTTCTATTTATGTACCTTTATTTTTCACTTTTGTTATTTTGATTGTGAAATTCTTATGAGGCTGCAACATGGTGCATGCACATGACAAATTTACCCAAGGGGACAATAAAGTCTCTCTCTCTCTATAGCCATGTATGATGAGATCCGTCAGTTTCGTGAGGCTTGTGGTGATGCCCACATGAAGACCATCCTGGCAGTTGGGGAGCTGGGCACCCTCACTAATGTCTACAAGGCTAGTATGATCGCCATGATGGCTGGTCAGTATCACTACAGTCTGCTCTGTGTCTGTCATAATCGTAGCTTATATCCCTTCTTCATATTGAAAATTAATGAAACGTTTCAAGGGACCGCTGGCATTTATTATTGAACCTCTAGTCAAATGGTGCATTATCTTTGTATATCTCTGAACTTGTTCATTTTTATACTCCAGAGAGGACACTTAGGTCTTCTAACCAGTTGTTCCTGGAAGTACCTAAGTCCAGATTGAAATGGGGAGACCGAGCTTTTTCGGTTCGGGCTCCTGTACTATGGAATGGTCTGCCACGGGATATTAGATCTGCTCCGAGCCCGACTGTTTTTAGATCACTTCTTAAAACGCACCTGTATTCACAGGCTTTTAACAACATCACTGATTGATGCATTTGTTTTTGATTATGTATTTTTGCTGTTATTATTTTATTGTGTAGATGTGATTTATCTGGTTTTATTTTTATTATTTTATATGTTTTACTGTAAAGCACCTTGTAACGTAGGTTTAGAAAGGTGCTATATAAATAAATTTTGCTTGCTTTCTCTGCTCCCTGGCTCAAAGCTGCACCAGGCCGTTCCACTCATTATTGCTTAGTGCTCAAATCAGATCCACTCACTCCAAAAATGTGAGAAAATCTGCATGTACTTAACTTTTAGCTCATACCTTAGCCTTACATCTGAAAGAACTAGATAACGACAATTTTTTTCCCACATAGAAATGGTTTGTTTCAAATTACAATTAGGCCTGTGTAACAAGGAATATAACACAAAAGGTCATATGGAAAATTCAACAAACCAATGGACCTAATTAACTAAAAATATACAGTACACCTGTATGACTTTTCAGTTTCCTTTTTAAAGTACTTTGGGAACTCCATTATTGAGCTTGCGATGGCAGATTTTTGACTGAAAAGTGTTGGATGACTGTCCAAGACACAGATGCATTCTGGGTTGGGCTCAGGCATGCTTCAGGCTCGTGGTGTGAGCAGTATCAGAGTAAAACTGGAGCTGGACATAGGACGATGCTCCGTCCCTTTTAAAAAAGCTGCTGTGTCCACAATCCACCTGCTTCCTGCTCACTCCCGCTTCACTCCGCTCTGTTTTACCACCACATAAAGTGAATCACCTCAGTCACTTGTTCCCGTACTCTTTGTATCTTTATCTTTAGACACAGCTCTATGGAAGTGTCAGTTTGGCTGAACGGATTTTTACTTATGATACTGGACCAGGTCCTTGTTCCAAAGTATTAAGTGTATTAGCTTAAAGTATTGATATGAATAAAAGAATAACCGTGAGATGGACAACACACTCTCAGTTTACAGATTCATTACACGGCAGATACTAACTACTTCTTAGTATCCGTATGTCCACAGACAGTTTGTGTAGTTAGGTGGCGAAAGCAATGCATTTTAATAATGATCACGAAAGGTGGCTGCTGACTCCCGTGACATACACCTGGAGTGGTGCGAATTCAGTGCGGGACTAACGAAATGGGTGACTACTTCAGTATTTTATGCTTTTGATGTGCGTCAATGGCAGGAATATAGGACAATAGTGTATCTTGAAGCATTGACCTGCATCAACACACAATGACACACGAGTTCGCTGCCAGTGTGGGGTGTTGCACTGAAAATCATGGGTACAGATGTTTTGAAGAGGGTCCACTGCTGCCTGTGTGTGTGTGGTGCCCTTGAATGTTTTATTACATGGTTTTATAAAATATAGTCTGTTGGGTTGTTACAATTTTAACTAAAAAGATGCAGCTAAACCATGTAATAATTTGTGCACAATGTGATAACTTGTTACAATGTTTTGAGCATTACATTATTGGAATATTATTAGATTATTGACATGTATTACCTGTTCTTTATACCATTATGAATTTTATCAAGCCTTTAAAAAGTTTGAATTCTAAGTTAGTAAAAGCTGAACACTGTAATTCTTGCAGTCAGCCAGCTTGTGGCACTGCTGCTTAGCATTTTCTTTTGCCAAATGCCAAACATGAGTGGAGCTCTGCCTCCCATGCACACACACACACACACACACACACACACACACATATACAGTGTACACTTATCTCCATTTTATATAAATAAGCCGATTACAGGACCAAATTGTCGGGGGTTCTGATATAGATCATTATTAAAATGCATTGCTTTTGTCGTCATACTCGCTCCTTAATCTCTCCTTTATTCCTATGAATTGCATATGAGATTCCTGAAATTGAATGATAATTTCACCTATTAATCTCTGATGTAGCCTATTTTCTTCTGCTGTTCCCTGTCAGTATCCCCCTGCCCACACAAATGAATAGAGCTTCACTACCGTCGCCCACATTTAGTGATTATTATCAATTATCTGGTAATTAAGACTCCCTATAGCACATCTTAAGGATTATGCCAGTTTGAGTAAGAGGGGACAGTGGCTGAAAAAAGTCTGACTGGAAGAATACATAGAACATGTCTTTAATGAACTGGAAAATGTTCATTTTGTTCTGTTCAGTAATGAACACTCATTATACACCAGGGAAGCAGAAGGGATTTTTTTTCCGTCAGACCATAGTTTGTGGGTAATCTATTTAAAGAGCATCGTTTCATCTTCTATTTTAATCAGGAAAGCTGATAAAACATAATTGGCTGTGAAGGGAACGAAAAATTAAGGCTTTTATTGATGAGGGTGCAGCTGCCCTCTGTTCGCCATCAGTAGCAGCATATGTTCTTGTCAGCCAGACTGTCAGAGTAAGGGCCTGTGTCTGTCTTCTCTCTCCATACCCACACTAACGCTGTCTGACTCTGCTTCCTTACATTACCAACTCATCGCGTTTTGAATCTTCATGTAAATGTATGCATGTGGAGTAACCTGAATAGAAAACATACTGACAGATGAATGATTACAACATGACTATTTGTCAGCCTGTTTTACGTGGTCCAGTCTGTGTGTTGCTGTGCTGAAGACTGCATGTCACTTGTTTACACTTGTTTAAACTTTACAGGTCTAATATTCATCAAGACATCCACAGGAAAAGAGGCTGTCAACGCTACTTACCCAGTTGCCATAGTGATGGCACGAGCCATTCGTAACTACTTCTTGTGTACAGGCCACAAGGTAAAGTACTTAATTCCCACCTTTGAGTGAATACATCTGGTTAATGAGGAGAAGGAAAAGTCATCTGCACAGTATAGATTAGCTGCTTGGAGATTGTCTTATTTACTAGCAGATATTGATTATTTTATTACTTTTATGGACTACATTATAGTCAGAGGTGTTCCTAATATTCCGACCCTCTCAAGTGGGGAATACAAAAATATAGACACCTCTGACTATAATGTAGTCCAGTATAACACCACCTTCAACTGTGACCTCAATAATAAACATAGAATTAAATTTATACATTTACAACAATTTCAACAAACACTGAAACATTTTGAGTTTCATAAACACAGATTTGTGTGGTTTGGTGCTTCAGTGGTGGGCGCTGCTGTGTCACAGCAAGAAGGTGCCGGAGTTCAAGCCCTAGCTGACCTGGTGCCTTTCTGTGTGGAGTTTTCATGTTCTCCCTGTGCCTGTGTGTGTTCTCTCTGGGTACTCCAGCTTCTTCCCACAGTCCAAAGACAGTTTGGTTGATTGGCAACTCTAAATCGCCCGTAAGCGTGAGTGTGTGGTTGTTTGTCTCTAAGTGTCAGTCCTGTGATAAACTGGTGACCTGTCCAGGGTGTACCCCACCTATCAACCAATGTCAACTTGGATTGGCCCCAAGCTATACATACACACACATACACACACATATGTGTGTGTATGTGTGTATGTGTGTGTGTGTGTGTGTGTGTGTATATATATATACAGTGGTGTGAAAAAGTGTTTGCCCCCTTACTGATTTCTTATCTTTTTGCATGTTTGTCACACTGTAATGTTTCAGATCGTCAAACAAATTTATATATTAGTCAAAGATAACACAAGTAAACACATCATGCAGTTTTTAAATGAAGGTTTTTATTATTAAGGGAAAACAAAATCCAAAACTATATAGCCCTTCTTTATTGTAATGTTAAAATTGTAATCTTGCTAACCCCATTCTTGCAAAATGTATTGGTAATCTGATTGTATTGTTTTTCTCTGTAACTTACCTTTTTTTTTTGCATCCGAAATACATAATGCCCTTCCATGTATTCCGTTACTCCCTAAGCCTGATCATAAATTGCTAAACTGTTAACCTCATTTGACTATGTGCTGGGACCTGTTAGTCAGCTAATGCTAGTTTTGGATTGGAAGCTGCCTACACTGTGTTGCAGCCAAGCATTTGTAGTTCACATTGTAGTTTTAGGAAACAGGATAAGAGGAGCAAAGAGTGGTAAGGAGTGATTTATGGTCTGAGTTTGTTTTGAGACTCACTAGACCCTCAGGTGGCTGAAAACATATTTAGTAGAGTACCTTTAAGTGTGTGTTCCCTCAGGTGGGCTTTAAGCCAGCAGGGGGTATCCGGACAGCTCAGGAGTCTCTGGTGTGGCTCATGTTGATCAAAGAGGAGTTGGGCAAGGACTGGCTTTGTCCTCAACTGTTTCGCCTGGGAGCCAGCAGCCTGTTGGCTGACATTGAGAGGCAGGTGAGGACTTTCTCTCTCTCTCTCTCTCTCTCTCACACACACACACACACAGGGTAATTTTTCATCTTTTTTTATTTTATTTTTTTACCTTTTTTTTTTTTGTTTGTTTGTACAGATCTACCACCATGTGACTGGACAGTATGCAGACTATGATGAACTGCCTATGGCCTGAAGCTGTGGACATTTAAGTTTTAATGAACAATAAAACCCTCAGACTCTCCACACAAGCCTGACAGTAAACATCCAGAGAATGCAGTGATTTGTCCATTTGGTTAGCCACATTCACATTCAGTGCTTTGATTATATGGAACAATAAAAGTTTTCTGTGTCCCAGTTTCCAGTGTTGGGAAATGTTTTGTACTGTAGTTGGACCAAATCTCCAGGTTCCTCTGTGTGTTTTTGTACACCAAGTGCTTTGTATGTGAGATTGATATGGGCACAAGCCTCTCACAATGTGCACACAAGATGTCATGAGTTGTACATGCTATGCTTTCAGTGTAGACACAGAAATTCAAAGAAATTTTATTTGCATAGTGCCAAATCGCAACAAAAATCATCTCAGGGCACTTTACATAGTAAGGTCTAGACCTGACAGTATTATAGAGAAAAACCCAACAAATCTCCTTTGAGCATGTTCTTGATAAGTTTCATGCTTTTTTCCAGTGGTACTACAACATCTGCCATCGTTTATTAATGCAGTGTTATTGCTTGCATACAGATATGAAGTGTCTGCCCTGAAATGAATCTGTAGTTCTGAGAGCGTTGTCCAGCTCCCAGTTATTCTTTTATTCATATCAATTATTTAAGCTAATGAACTTAATATTTTTGAACCAGGAGCTGATACTGTACTGTATGTGAATCAAGTTCCTGAAAAATACTGTGTGCCAGATTAATTTCAGTTAAAATATGTCAGATTTAATGAGCATTTAGTTTTTATTCACTGTAGCCTAAATATAAGTTCCAGTGTAATAACATAGCATTTTACTCAGTACCAGCACGTCAGGGGACCCCTCTGTAAAGATCCTGAAGTTTGCAGATGACACAACGGTCATCTGTCTCATCCAAGTCAGGGTAGAGACAGGAAGTTCAAAAGCTGGCCCCTATGGTGTGCTTGCAACAACCTGGAGCTGAACATGCTGAAAACAGTGGAGCTGACATTGGACTTAAGCTCAGGAAGTTCAACCTGCCCCAGGAGCTGCTGGTACAGTTTTACAGAGAAATTATTGAGTCTGTTCTCTGTTCTTCCATCATGGTCTTTTTTGACTCAGCAATGAAATAGGACAGGAACAGACTCCAGCAGACAGTCAGGACTGCAGGAAAGATCATCTGTGCCAGCCCACCCTCCATGGAGGACCTGTACACCTCATGGGTCAAAAGGAGGGCAGAGAAGATTTCTGCAGATCCCTGATACCCTGAACACAAACTTCTTGAACTCCTCCCCTCTGGATGGCACTACAGGTCACTGTATGCCAAAACAACTAGACACAAGAACAGTTTCTTCCCCCGGACCATCACCTTCATGAATCCATGTTTAGTTGTATAATAAGATACAGCAAATACCACAGTGCAATAACTTATAGATGTAATCACTGTTTATAAAATAGCTCATTTTTAACCTGTATATATGGACTAAAGTTACAGAAAGTGTATAACGCAGACTGGCGGTGACATGGGGAAAAAGTCAGACATTCTTGGTGTCAGATGAGTCAGGAGAGCACTAAAAGAGCCTAAGAACAACTGTCTTCTATATTCAGTGTTGACAACCTTAATTTAACAGTAAAAAAATAGACTGCAATGACTGCCAGTGGCATAATGTTTCAAAGCCATATAAAGTCTGAGTATGTAAGCATAATGAAATGTTAATTAATCTAACACAGACAGTGATTAATATGTACAGTAGGCAGTCACTGCCGACCAGTCAACAATATTTTCCTTTGGGAATAGAGAAACTGTCTATTTTGGATGATACAGCCACACACCTGAAGAGACCCCTCCAGTCCAGTTCTGTTTCCCAGGTATGCAGGTCAGAGAGGTTGTAGGGTTTCATATAAAGGGGGATATGAGAAGAAGACTAGACCAGAAAGAATGAATTACAGTACATGTTACATAGTAGTTGTGAACTTTGACTATTCTGAAACTCAGAATGTGAAGATGCCAAGGAAAAAATCTGTATTGTAATTCAGTTTTTCCTTGAAGTGCCCATGGCATGTTTTTTTGTTTTGTGACTTATCTACAATGTTATAACAATCAATTATCATCTTAAACGTAACTGAAAGCTCAAAAACAAGGTGTACCTATGTCATTGAAGCAACTTGGTTTATACAAGTCTCGTGAACTCTTGCTGGCAAGACTTTTTTTTCCAACTATGTATAGTCTTATGCAGTAGTTTATGGATTTCCTTGAATGGTTATAATCTCCAGGCAGTTGCACATTAATGCAAGCTTGCCTCTCATCCACTGGTGCCATGTTAAAAGCAGGATTTTTCAACTGCATGTGGTTTTGTGGATATATTTTACCTCCTGCTGCCTGCATTATGATTAGAGGATGTGGAGAAAAATACGGGGCCTGAGGTTACTGCATGTCCAGGAATATTCCTCTACATGGACCCACTGTTTTACCTGACCGGGTCTAACCTAAAAGCAGCCGGCCAATGAAGCACCCTGGTGCGGTGAATGATAAGCTCATCAACGCTGGACTCCTTCAGAGCACAATGCCTGTTTGTTTTGACTGCTTGAGGCCAGTGTGTCTACCGCATGTGATGTTGTGGGGTGGCAAGAGGATTCTAACGATCCATGATGTTTTTGTTGGTGCAACACTATCTGTTGGGAATGTATGTGGTCGCCTGTAACACAAGGGATTTCTGGGGAAAAACACAGCGATCACGGGTTGGATTTACTGACCTTGGAGCTACTTGAAAGGGAAAGAAGCTTCCACAACTCAGTAGGACTTAACAGTAAGTAAAAAAAATACACACACGTTGCATGCCTGTTAATGCATCATTTCTCTAGAAGAGAATTGTTGTACTATATATGTATTATGCCAGTTAAATATGGGGTTTCTCAATTACCCTCTTTGTTTAGAGTGTTACAAATCTCTTTTCCCTGTTCAAAACTCATTTTCATGTAGCGCCCCCCTCAGTGGTTGTGATTAGGATAATGTTAGGATTCAGGTTAGAGGAAACACATCTTGATGGGGAAACAGATTTTGACACAACACCGGCAGCAGGAGTTGTACATGTTCATAAACTATCCTCTTGTTTTCAGGAGAAGGCTCTCAGGTTTTATCATTATGAAATAATTACAGACTATTTGGAGTTATGATGGGTGCAAAGCTAATCTAGAGGTACCCAAGATTAAACATTAAATGGCTGGAAGTGAGCATGCCATGTACACATTAAATTAGCAGTTCGAATCTCACTCCTGACTGAACTGTTCTGAATGAAATCAGTTCCCAGACCCCCCTATAGAAAATGAACTATATTCAGTTTAAATTTTGGGTTAAAAGCTTAACCACTATAAAGCATGAAGTACCACTAAGGCAGAGAGAAATTTGATTCATGGCCTGATAAAATAAATCTAAAGAAATCACTGTCAAAGGACTATGGTCAGGATAATTGTTTGCAATGGCAAATCTCAATGGAGTCCTCAGAACTCATTCTGAGGCTTTTGAAGTGAGCATTGACATTGAAACTCAAGGGTAGGGAGGGAATAAGGGGCCTATCAAATGAAGAACGATGGAGCTGCATTCACCTCAGAAATTTTAAGCAGTGCTTTCAAGATGCTGTCAGGTTTGTGTAAACTGAGGTGTGGGAGGGGGAAGGATCAGAATATCTGCTCTTTAGGAGATAAAATGAAACGATGTGCATGGAAGGTCGAAGAGTGATGTGATCTGAGCTGTATGGACTCAGCCAAGGACCTTGTCATTCTCTTTACAAGAGCACAGTGGCACAACAAAACAGTGCTGGGAGTTGAAAAGAGAAAATTCCTGCATTATAAACTAGAACAACAACAAAAAAATTTTTTTAAAGCCTTGAACACACTAAATTAAATAACGCTAACTGAATTTGTATTCAAATGCTTTGATATCCAAGGTCACTCCACAGCATGCAGTATATAATGTGTGTGATGCTGATTGCCTTGTCGTGGGCAGGAGCCTACTCTGGCTCCATGTGTATGCTGAGAGAAATGAATAAGAGGATGATTAGAACTGGAATGGCCTTAAGTATCACATACAAAATAGCTGTTTCTGTCTTTTTCTTGATCTGTTAGGTGGCCAACAAATCCCCCTTGAACGAGCACTTGGCAACAGCAGGAAGGAAAAACTTAAGGGGTTTATTCCTATGTTTAATCAAGAGCACAATCTTCTATTTTGAGAGCATAATGCTACTGGGTCCTGACACTCAAATGCACCTGCTTGTTCTAAAAACCCTGTCCTCACACTCAAACCCTTCTCCTTGCATACAAACTGCTGCTGCGTGCTCGCAAAACTTCTGCTCTCACTCTTGGATTTTTGTGAAATAACCCTGTCAACATTCCCCAGCCAGTGTCAAGAATGTCAGCTATGGTGGTGACCAATGGAATGACTGTGCCTTTGTTTCTGATGCATTTCCTTTAATTTTAGAGCATCTTAAAGGCTTTATTCTATTACAAAGCCTCGTCCGCTTGGCAGCTGAGCAGAGCAGTAGACAAAACATGAAGAAAATAATGTGTGTGTGGCTGTTGTTTTCGTGGTGTGTATCTAAAACAATTTGACATAACATTACACATTAAGACAAATATTATGGTTACTTTTACCGTCATAATAACATTTGTCCCTGACTGCAGCCTTTCTCTGCTTTAACTAACCTTGCATTTAACAGCCTGAGGAAGACATCCTGGCTACACTAACATCTTGTAATACAACAGATCTCTAATCAATATCTATCCAACTAAGAAATTACCTAACAATTTAAAGTCCGCTTAATGCCCAGGTGTGACTGACTTGAACATTTGTATTCTCACATACAGCTCCTCAGTTAATGTCTAGAAAATTTCAGGGTTACAGTCTGAAATGGATTATAGAGCAATTTAGTCCACTTTAAATACATACTATTTATTTAAAAATGATCTATGTCTACTGTATGGTTTTGTTCCAGTGGCATGTAATTTAAACTGGTCATCAGCCCCTGAACACTTTGCAGTGCCTCTGCTAAAAATGAACAGCAATCCCCAAGCTCACCGGTAAACAAGGCTCAAACTCTGAAGGAGAAATCAGACCCATAGACACACCACCCAGTCTACTTACTACAACAATACAATAGTTGCAACCACACTAGGATACGGTACTTGTGTCAC